TTTTGACTTTTCCACACTTCACATCAACGGACAAATTTCTTCCACATATGCCTATGTAATCCATTATGTACATATAGATTTATCCTTAAAATTGATATTATAATTACAGTAATGTTACACTTACACTTTTATTGACATCTTTATTGACACTATACGATGTGACATACAATTTGACCATTTATTTGAATAACACTTATTCAAATTAATGACCAAATTTTTTACACATCACACAATGCCAATAAAGATATATAATTTGAATGTACAAATAACTTAATTGTTGTAAGTTTATGTAATTATTATACCGAGTTCTCAACTAATGTTAGTGACACAAAATTATTGTACATTGTACTCAGTTCACTAACATTCTATCTCCTCTCTCCTAGATTTAAAGAGAGTGAATATTCCTAAAAAAATAAATAAATTATTTAACAATTTTATATTATTGAAGATCATATATAATAGCACGTCAGCCTAGCTATCACACATTGGTTCAATGTGGGCAAAATATTCTTTATGCGTTTGCTAAATATATTTCCATTACAAATAATCAAACGCATGATTTGTAAGGAAATCATTGAAGTAATGGAGTCAAATCGAATAGAAAACTACATCTTTATTTGTAGCATGATTGAATACTACATATCCGTTCAGACAATTTTTTCTTTAATCGAGTGGCTAGTATTTTTTTTTTGAAAACTTACATATACCTCTCCAAGCTTTTTGAAAATTTCAAACACATCCTCTCTTTTTCAAAAATTACGAAAATCTCTTTTATTTTAAATTTTGAATAACGCATATCTCCCTTGATGTTTATGATAATTTCCGAGACACCTTCTGAATTTTTAAAAATATCTCAAGTTTTTAAGAATGCATACCTTCTTTCTTTTTGCACATGTTAGTATAAATAATAGTAGCGATGCTTAAAAGACATTTTAAATATCACATTATTGTTAAAGCCATAAGAAGAACAAAATTTCGTAAACTATATTTTAAGTATTGCTACTATTATTTATACTAAGATGCATAAGAAAAATAGTCAATAGATGTATGTGTTATTTAAAACTTGATATTCAGAGGTTCGTGTTGAAAATATAGTTGTCTATGAAATTATCGTAAACTTCAATAACGGTATCCATTTTTCAAATCCCAAAATAAAAGAAGGTTTGTGTAATTTTAAAAAATGGAAGGACTATCTCTAAAGTTATCATAATCAGAGGTATACATTATTCAACAGTTAAAATAAGAAGGTTTGGGTAATTTATTTGAAGTAAATTTCAATGAATGTCTCTATAATTTACCCTACAATATTATTATAAAATAGAACCTCGCGTAGCACGTGTTAATGTTAAGTATTCCATTTGAAGTAGCAACGTTGGTTTTATATAGTGCTTCCACGTGTACGGTCATGTTTTGCAGCTTACAAAACTCTCATCTTCTATATATCCATACATCTGATTGATCATAATTTAAGTTAAGGAGATCGTCTAAGTTCAAGCAGAGAACATGGCTGAATTGGATAGGAGAAGTGAAATCGAAGCATTTGATGAATCAAAAGCTGGTGTAAAGGGGCTCCTCGAAAAAGGGGTGTCGAAAATCCCACGTATGTTTGTGCTGGATCAACCTATAATTGAAGAGAAACCAGTCTCCGGAAATGTTCCTCAGTACAATCTTCCAGTCATTGATTTTGAAGGCTTAAAGAATGATGCCGCAAAGCGTAAAGAAATCGTTAATAAAGTTAAAGATGCTTGTCACAATTGGGGCTTTCTCCAGATCATCAATCATGAGATTCCGGTGAGCACCATGGAGAAAGTAATTGAAGGTATAAAAGGATTTCATGAGCTAGAAACTGAGGTGAAAATGCCCTATTATTCGCGGGATAATAAGAAGAAGGTTGGTTTTAATAGCAACTTTGATTTATACCAAGCGCGTTCTGCTAACTGGAGGGACACCATTTTCTTTGTTATGTCTCCTGATCCTCCTGCACCCGAAGAACTTCCAGAAGTATGCAGGTATATATGTATGTAAAATTTGATTTTGATAATTATTAATTTCAGTTGGCTTATACAATTTTATTATATATATCTTGCAGAGATATAATGATGAAATACTCAGATGAAGTAATGAATTTGGGGTTCACACTGTTTGAATTGATCTCAGAAGCATTGGGACTAGACTCTAATTACTTGAGAAACATGGGCTGTGCTGAGGGGCTTTTCATAATTGGCCACTATTATCCGGCGTGCCCCGAACCAGATTTGACATTAGGTCTCAGTAAACATACTGATAGCGGTTTCTTGACTGTACTTCTACAAGACCAAATCGGTGGCCTCCAAGTTCTCCACAAGAATCACTGGGTAGATGTGCCTTACTTGCCTGGAGCTCTTGTTGTAAATGTTGGAGACCTTATGGAGGCAAGTATCTCTCTCTCTCTCTCTCGAGCTACAACATATATCTTGCGGTGTACTAAAAAGCGGCACCTAAACTTGAAGCGGGCGAAAAACACCTCACCTCACCCCGTGCTTTGTCATTTTTTTATTTTTCCTCGCCTAGGAGCGCTTTTTATTATTATTATTATTATTTTTAATGTTTTTATGGTTTTTTACGTTTTTTTCATTATTAAATATTTTTATTAGATTGATTTAAAAATTTAAAATAAGAAAACGCTTTTTAACGGGGCCGAAACTTGATTTTCACTCTTCGTCCTGCTTTACGCCTTTTAGAACACTGATATTATAATCAGTTAAAGGATAAAATGCCCTCAGCGTGTTTTGTTTTTGCAGCTCGTCACCAATGCCAAGTTCAAAAGTGTTTACCACAGAGTATTGGCAAAGACTGTAGGGCCAAGAATCTCAGTGGCAAGTTTTTTCAGATTGCATTATCACGAAAAAAGTAAAACTAAAGTTTATGGACCAATCAAGGAGTTATTGTCTGAAGAAAATCCACCCATCTACAGAGAAATCACCAGTGAAGAGATTCTTGTGACTCGAAACACCAGAGGCGTAGATGGAGTGTTACTATCACACTTTAAGTTGAATGCAAGTGCCACTGAGTGATAGAAATCAGCTTCAATAATTGCTTATAAATTTCTACTCTTAATTTAATTGCTTATGTGTTTTCAGCACATCTGTTGAGGAGGTACGTCTAGTGTTTCATTTTCCGAATAAGATCTGTAATTGCAATGTTTGCTATTGTATTGCAACCTATTTATTGAACTAATAATGCTCCAGTTTTAGATTTCTCATGTATTTCCCAGATTGGTTGGGATAAGTCTTATTATAATCTTTTGTTGGAGGTCAAGTCTGGCTCCACGCCTAAGTTATATTATATATTTATTTTTATTTGTAATAAATCACGCCATATTTGTAATGAAACACTCCAAGTGATTTTGATTTAAAAATTATATATTAATACTTAATAATCATAATTTCATAGGTACAAGGGAATTAACAATTTTGGAAGTGGTTAACCATAGGAGAAACAAGCAAAAATGAAACGAGAACAAAAAAATTTGCGAAGGTCGAAAGGCCGTCTGACCTTGTGTTGCAATTATAGTGACCATTTTGTTGAATTGGGCGGGCACCCAGTATAAAATGAATCTGTTGAGATTTTGAATTATGGTATCGTTTTGAAGGATTTTACAATTTTTTGGCTTGGTTTACACACTTTTCGTGCATGATGATTGTAATTATAGTTTTCATGATTGGAAACGTATCACAAACATCAAATTGATTACATAATATCCAAAATCTAAGATCAAATCAAGTTTTTATAATTTTGTTCTTTAGTTCATTTTTCCAAGGTTTGTTTGCTTGCTTCAAACTTGGATTAAGGTTTGTTTACTCCTACAGACTATTTGTAATAAAGCCTTCAAGCTCTTACCCCAATGGAAGCAAATATCATTTGAGGATAGCGATTTATAATTGTGTTCAAACCTTCAATTTTGATGATTTCTTGTTACTGGTTTTATTTTTGTTCTTCATCAACTTTCTCAACAATTCTCAAACGATATTCAACGTGCATAATGAGACAATCATACTACGGTAAAGATGATAAATCGAGACCTTGTGAGGCTTGACAAATTCAACAGTTCAAATTTTACAAGATGGACGGACAAGTTGAAATTTGTTCTCACAACCTTGAAGTTCTTCTAGATTTTAGATCTGAATTTGGGACCATTGCCAAAACTAACCCCAAATGACATCGACGAAACAAGGGCTGAAAGGAAGAAGAGAGAAGAGGATGAACTGATATGTAGATAACACATTTTGAACTCTCTCTTCGATCGTCTCTATGATCTCTACACAAATAACACCTCAGGAAAGGAGATATGAGAATCGTTGTAAATCAAATACAAGGCCGAGGAAGAAGGTACCAAAAAATTTCTTATTTCTATGTATTTTGATTTTAAGTTTTTTTGATAACTTGCCTTTGTTAGGACAAGTTCATGAGTTGCAAACTATTGTCAATAAAATGAAGGTTGTAAAGATTGATCTTCCCCGAAACCTTTCAAGTTGGTGCAATCATTGCAAAATTGTCATCTTCGTGAAAAAGTTATAAGAAGAAAATTATGCACAGTTCCCAAAATTATTCTAAGAAATTCAAAAATATTTTCAGATTGAGGAAGAGTCAAGGACACGAGATGAGAATGAACTTTCTCATTAGGGCACTTCCAAAGTCCATATCGTAGATTAACCAACCAATACACCAATGATACCAAGAAGATGAAATCCATAATTCCAACAAAGATAACAAGAACAAGAAATAATTCAAAATTCTTTTTTATGTGTGTGGCAAAGTTGGATATTATACTCGGGATTGTAGACATAGTAAACAACCAATGCAAGAAAGCAAACTCCATTGACAACAGCATTGCTACCGTGAGCATTGTGAATTCGATTAAAGAAAAGTTTGAAGGATGGTGGTATGATACTTATGCCACCATACTTGTGTGCTATCATAGATCCCTTTTCAAAATCTTTCAAGAAGTAGATGACAAACACATTCAAATGGGAAATGAAGTTCAATCAAAGGTTGTTGGCATAGGAAGCATAAAATTACAATTTACATCCGACGAGAAGAACACTTTAATAATGTATTGCATGTACAAGATATGAATAGAAATTGTGTAAGTGATGATTTGTTGGAAAAATGAGGAATAAAGTCCACACATGAGTCCGACAAACTTTTACTTTTTCGAAATGGTGTATTTGTTGAAAAAGGCTATTCTAGTGATGGATGATCAAACTTTGTACTATTGACAATAATATCAATAAAACTACAAATTTAAATTATGTTGTTGGGTTAGGATATGTTGACTTTTCTACTTTAAAAAGAATGAACAAAATTGGAATGATTTTATGTGAAAACATAGAATATACTAAATGTAAATTATGTGTTGAGTGTAAAATGATTAAGAAATATTTTCATAGTGTTGAAAGGAAATATAATTTGCTAGACTTAATTCATTCCGTTATATGTGAATTAAATAGAATATTAACTAGACGAGGTAATAGATACTTCATAATATTCATTGATGATCTTCTAGTTTTTGCTATATCTATTTGATAAAATATAATGATAAAGTATTTAGCATATTTAAAATATACAAAGTTGGAGTAGAAAATTAATAAAATAGAAAGATTAAAATTTTTAGAAGTGATAGGAGAGGTGAATATTTCTCTAGTGAATTTAATCTTTTTGTGAACAATATGACATAATATATCAATGTAGTGCACCTAAAACATTCAAACAAAATGGTTTGGCTAAAAGAAATTATATGACATTAGTTGAAATGATAAATGCTAAGTTATTAAGTGTTAAGTTGCCATCTAATTTATGAAATGAAGCTTTATTAAATGTGCGTCACATAGTTAATAAGATTCATTCTAAAAATATGAATTGTAGAAAGGGAGAAAACAAAATATTGGTTTTTTCATAGTGTGGGAGTGTCTTTCTTATAGTGAAAATACGGATCCCAAAAGGACTAAGTTGAGTTCTAGAGAGATCAATTGCGCTTTTGCAGGATATGCCCAAAATGGCAAGGTATATCATTTATTGAACTTGGAGACCAATGTTATTATTGAATCCCCTGAAGTAAAGTTCTTTGATAATATGTTATCTTTGGATAATAATTCTCTAATGGAACCCCAAGTGGAGATTTCTAACACTACAAGATCACAAGTAAAAACATCTTCCCAGGATGTTGAAATAAGTGAACTTCACATAAGCAAAAGAGCTCGAAAGGTGAAAATGCTAAAACCGAATGAATTAGATTTTTAACGTATTTCTTTCTATTTCGTTGAGAGAAATAAGAAGAGTGTCACAAGAATTACTCTGTATGTTCTTCAAGTGAAAATCGATTCTAAAACTTATCAAGAAACAATGTCATTTAGAGATAGCACCTTTTGGAAGGATGTTGTAAATGATGAAATTGATTTAATAATGTCAAACAATACTTGAAAATTAGTCAATTTACCACCTGGATCAAAACCTACACGCTGCAAATGGGTATTTGGGATGAAGTACAATGCAGATGGTACTCTTAATAACTTCAAAGATAGGTTAGTGGCTAAACGATGTCGACAAAATGAATAAATAGATTACTTTGACATGTATTCACCAATTGCACGAATAACATCAATTAGAATTATATTTACTTTAATTTCAATCTATAATTTGCATATAAATCAAATGGATGTTAAAATGACATTCTTAAATGGGGATCTCGATGATGAGGTTTATATGAAACAACTGGAAGGATTTGTTCTACCAGGAAATGAGGATAAAATATACAAGCTAATAAAATTATTACATGAATTAAAACAAGCACAAAAGAAATGGCACGAAAAGTTTCATTTATCAATAATGTCTTTTGGATATAAACATAATAGTGTTATAAATGTTTATATTCAAAAGTTTGAGATAATCATATTGTGCTCATTTGTTTATACGTGGATGACATGTTGACTGTGAGCAATCAAATGCAAGGTACAAAAGAAATAAAGAGTGATATTAGTCAAGTGGATCCATGCTAGGTTTCAAAGTCATCAAGACTAGTGGGGGTTATATGTTAAGCCAATCACATTATATTGAGAACATGATTAATAAGTTCAAACACTTGAACATTAAAGATGCTAATACTCCATTTGATCTAATTTTGGAAGTTATAAAGAATGATAGAAGAGCTATAGCACAATTTGAATATGCAACTGCCATCAGGAGTCTAATGTATGTTGTACAATGTGGAAGACCTGAAATAACTTTTGTAATTAGTAAACTTAGTCGATTTACTAGCAATCCAAGTGAACAACATTAGAAGGCTATCGAGAGGGCTCTTGGTTATTTGAAGAAAAACAAGGATTCAGGTCTCCAATATTCTAAATTTCTAACAATCCTAGAAGGATTTATCGATACTAGTTAGATATCTAGTGTTGGTGAGAATATATCAACGTTAAGTTGGGTAATTACCCTTGGAGGAGGTCGGTCTCTTGAAAATTCAAAAAACAAACATGTATTACTCACTTAACTATGGAATTCGAATTTGTAGCATTGGCTAAAATCGGAAAAGAAGTTGAATGACTTATAGATTTAATGATTTCATGTTTATATGTTATGCATTGATTGCATAAGATATGAATGAAAGAAAACAACACCAAGGAGTCTTATTTATTGGTGTAGAAAGGTTGCAAACCGAAACGACACAACCCAAATTCAACTGGTATTACGAAAAGTTGCCCAGGTTCGCTATCACTCGACTGTCCTAGCTTTCCGTTCGGAGATAATTTCAAAGACTTTGTCACTCGCCGGTGTTAGGTAGTCGCTCGAGAGGGTTTTATAAGGGAAATTCTACTTTTCTAAGTTAAAATTGTGTTTTTCAGCCCTACTTTATTTACTAATTTCTCATTCATCCAGAAATAGTTTTCTAAGTCCAAATATACTAAATTAATTTACTTGATGAGTAGAACATGATTGACCAATTTCTTGCCAAATTCGAGATGCGGGACCCATCCAAATATTTGGTTAAAGTTCAATAGAAATCAACTTTTTATAACTA